TAATAATATATATATATTGAAATGAACTTGGCTAAAATAAAAATTTATATTAAAAAATTACACACATATAATGTATATATATAGTTATTTACATTTGCAATAATTGTATATTTTCAGTTATTTATTAATAATAACTTTGTGGATTCAGTAAGTGGTAAAAAGTTTTCTACTATAAATCCAGCTAATGGTACTGTTATTGTAGAAGTTTCTGAAGGTGATAAGGTATTATATTTTATTTTTATAAATTTTACATTACATTACAAAATTTTTTGTATTATTATTTAAAATATTTGTTTTGCTTTATATAGGCAGATGTAGATAAGGCAGTTGCAGCTGCAAAAGAAGCATTTAACAGAAAATCAAAATGGCGAACAATGGATGCATCTATTCGTGGAAATCTTATGAATAAAGTATATCAATATATAATTTTATATTTTATTTGTGAAGAAATTCATCTTCATATTTTTTTATTTAATTATTATAATATTTGTATATATATAGTTTGCAGATCTTATTGCAAGAGATTTGGAATATATTGCAACTCTTGAAACTTTAGATAATGGAAAAACATATTCAGATGCCCTTTTTGATATAGAAGCAAGTATACAAACAATTCGTTATTATGCTGCATGGTGTGATAAAATCTTTGGAGATACTATTCCAGCAGGTATGCTCGATATTTTTTAATAAAATTAGCAAATATTTCATGAATACTTATATACTTATATACTTATATACTTAATTAATATGTGTTATTTAGATGGAAAATTTATTTCACTTACCCGCAAAGAACCAATAGGTGTAGTGGGTCAAATTATTCCTTGGAATTATCCTTTTCTTATGTTAGCATGGAAATGGGGTCCCGCTTTAGCTACTGGATGTACCATTGTTTTGAAACCAGCTGAGCAAACTCCTTTAAGTGCACTTTATGCTGCAGCACTTACTAAAGAAGCTGGTTTTCCACCTGGTGTAATAAATGTTATTACTGGTTATGGTCCAACAGCTGGTGCTGCTATTGCTGAACATCCAGAAATTAATAAGATTGCATTTACAGGATCTACAGAAGTATCTAATTTATGATATTGATTTATTCAACATTTATTCATATAAATAAAATTATATTAACATTTTATATTTTATTTATAGGTTGGTCATTTAATAATGGCAGCTTCTGCTAAAAGTAATCTTAAACGGGTTTCTCTTGAATTGGGTGGCAAAAGTCCTTTAGTTATTTTTGATGATGTTGACAGTATGTTATTAAAACATTTATTAAAATATTAACATATATGTAATCTATAATAAGAATATATAATTTCTAGTTAAAGAAGCAGCTGAAATTGCTTTCAATGCAATATTTACTAATCACGGACAAAATTGTTGTGCTGGTTCACGTACGTTTGTACATGCTAAAATCTATGATCAGTTTGTTAATCATGCTAAACAATTAGCATCACAAAGAAAAGTCGGTGATCCTTTTAATTCTGAGACTCAACAAGGACCCCAAATTGATGAAGAAATGTTTCATAAAGTCTTAGGATTAATTAAATCAGGAAAGGAAGAAGGAGCTGTATTGGAAACTGGGGGAGAACGTCATGGAAGTATTGGTTATTTCATTAAGGTATAATTTCCTGACCTAATATTTTTTATATTATTTGAATTGTAATATATGAATTATTTAAATGATTCTCTTAAATAATTATTTTAATTTAATTTAAAGCCAACTGTTTTTTCAAATGTAACTGATACTATGAGAATTGCAAAAGAAGAAATATTTGGACCTGTTCAATCTATTTTAAAATTTGAAACAATGGATGAAGTTATTGAGCGTGCAAACAATACAAATTATGGCCTTGCTGCTGGAGTTCTTACTAAAAATATTGATAAAGCTTTAACATTCGCACAAGCAGTGGAAGCTGGAAGTGTTTGGTAAACATTTTAATTTAAATTTTATATTTTTTGTATATATATAAAACTTAAGAAAATTTATATAAAAAAATTTATTTGAAGGATAAATTGTTATGATGCTGTTACACCTCAAACTCCATTTGGTGGATTTAAACAATCAGGAATAGGTCGTGAACTGTAAGTTTATTATTATTTATTTATTATATAATAAAGAAAAATTAAAATATAATAAATAAATTTATAAAGAATTAATAAAAATATTTCTCTTTCTATTTTAGTGGTGCAGAAGGATTAAAAGAATATCTTGAAACTAAAACAATATCTATTAAAGTATCAAGTAATTAAAAAAGATATATATAGATACAATCATAATCTATATTACATGAAGTTAAATTTATATTTTAAAAAAATTATTATATTATATTATATATTCTTATAATTTCATGTACAAATATATATATATTTTTATTAAATTGTTAATAAAATAATATAATGGGTAAAAAATACAAATTTTTAATTGTATAATTTAATGTATATTTATTGAAGAAAGATATAATATGGATAAACTATCAATTGGCTAGTACACCTATTAGTTTTATATTGTAATTTTATATTTAAATTAAATACAGTAAAATCTTTAACATATATATTAAAATATACACATTCTTGTACACAAGAAACTTTGTACACAAGAAAATCTATTTAAGCATCATCTGGTGGAATTCCTAATTCTTCATCTGTCCAATCTGCTGGACATAATTCAGGAAAATGACCCTGAATATATAAATACATATAAATTACAGAATTGAATATAAAATACACAATATATTATAGAATATAAAATAACAAAATTGTATTTTTAAAAATATAAACTATTTTAAAGTAAATTTCTAAAATATATATAAACAATAATTGTGATACTTACAATAATATGTTTGTATTCATACCAAAAATTCCAAAAAATCCACCACCACATTATTCCACCCAAAATTTCAGATACTATTACCCATGATGTTTGTGGTTTTGGTATTGAGCGATAACAAAAACTAATAGAATATTTCGTAATTTAATATAATTAATTTTTATAGATATTAGAATAATAAAAGATAGAAAAGATATTAGATAATTAGAATAGGATGACATATTTTGGAGATATTTTTTTCATAATAGAATCATACATTTGATTAAATGTATTATATTCACTACATATGAATTATACAATATTTTTTATATATATAAAAATATTTTTGTATTTTTACGAGAACAAAAATTTAAAAAACTTTACAGTTTTATAGAAAAGTTTATTATTGTACAAATCTAACCTCTTTCTAAAAAAAAGTTATATAATATATAAAAATATTTACCATGTACGAATTTGATTTAAATTTATTGTAGTCTGTTTCTTTGCATTTAAATAACGTACGTTTTTTAAAATTGCTGTACTACGCGATAATAACATTTTTTAACTCAAAATGATTTCTTGAATTAACTTTTATTACAAATGAAACGACCTCTATCATAGATAGGACAGAACTAACGATCAACATTATATACTTTGATAAACTGTTGCTATAAGTACATAAATGAAAATTATTAACATTAGCAATATATATATAATTATTTTTTTAACAATAATTAATATATATAATTAATTAAATAAATAATTTAATAGATAATTATTCAAATAAATTAATTTTCTTTTATTTTAGTAATTGTTAAAAATCATTTATAATTTTGAATTATTAATCGTATTTATATACTAATTGATTTCAGTATAATGAATATAATCCAATATATGTATTTTATATAGACATATTTCTTTTATTTTTATCTAAAATTATTTTTATAAAAATATATATATATATATAACTATTATTTAGATATAAATGGATGAAAATCAATAAACGATTGTAATTCTAATTATAAAATTATATATACAAATTAAATATTTTTAAAAAATTGGAATCAAATTTATTTATTTTAAATAAAAATACAAAAAAAATTACGTTTAATCGAAGAAATTTAAGATTTTTAAATTTTTTTTGTTCTCAATTATGTATTTTATATTTTAAATTGTTATTATAGTTTAAATAAAAAATAATTCAACAATACAAATTATTTTTTAAGATTTTCAATACGTAGAAATAAATTAATGTTTCAAATTTCTTATTCTTCACAATAATTTTATTAAAAGTATATTTTTTTATATTTATATGTAACGAATTTTCTTTCATCTGTCTTCTTTCGTGACTATTCTTTTTTTTTTTACGAGATTAATTTAAGACAACTTAACATCTGATGAAAGTCGTTCAAACACATTAACTGTGAGATATTCGCCATTACGGTCTGAAACGAGAGGGCTTCAAACAGCGAGGGGGTAGACTCCCAGTTGGATGATTCTCATTGGTCTATCGGAAAGTTTACGATTTGCGATCAACCATCTGGTTCTCGGTAGCAACCCCTAAAGAAATACACGTCATTGGTCCTCGTATCGTAACTTTTCTTCGACGTGTGCCCTAATAAGAACTTTTATATTACCTATCGACCAATCGACCTATCTTTTCTCGACAAGAAATGCAACCAGCTTCTTAGTTCGTGAATTCGTTACTAATATGTCTATGTACATATTTATAACGAATTATACAAGTTTTATTGCAATAATAGCAGATAATTTATTAATATTTTTGTTTTCTGTAAAAAATTACTGTAAAAAAATATTGACTATATTTTTATGATACATAAATATATTATATTCGTGAGAACAATTATTTGATATTTTCAATTATTTAAATTATTTCAATAATTATTGCAATAGATAATAATTTTAAAAAGTTAAGAGGATATTAATAAGATTTTTATTTTTATATAATTATAAATTAAATATTGAGATGGATATTAATTGTAACGTATTCGTAAGAACAATTATTTAATATTTTTTAATTATTTAAATTGTAATGATACAATAATAAATAGTAATTTTAAAATTTCAAGTATTATACATTAAATATTTAATTAATTTATATTATTAATTCAATCGAATTAATATTACTTTTAAATTAAATTGAATTAAATTATATTAATATTTATAAATTATAATAATTTTATCTTAGTATTATTATTCTATTCATTCTCATGCAATAAAAATCTCATATCAAGAATGAATTGTTCGCGTATTACGTGATACAGCATACCGATCGTTGATTCATAATTTTATCATCGTGACGATAGACCAGTGTTTACAAGCCTTCTCTTCGAGAAAGAGAACAGAATTTATTGATGATTCGTTGATGGGCTCGCAGCACGTTTTACGACACCACTTTGGAGGATTTTTATCTAGTCACCCGGTAGCTTTTATCATTTGAAAAACGCGCCGTTTGCTGTTTTTCCTTTATCGTCCAATAAACTTGAATTGTATTGCAAATTTCTGCCTACAGGGGAACTCGTCTTTTTCTTTATCTGTTGGAATGGTACCTATTCGCGTTGGTGATCCATTTGTAATATAGACTGTTAAGTGTGAAAGAAATTTTATTACGTATTTCTTCATTTGTTTGGATAAGAGTGCAATAAATGATCAAACGATGGAAAAAGAAATCGAGTTTGTAAATTCAAATATTCATGAATGAGACGACGAAGAATGAAGAACAAGGTTGAGGTTATATTTTACACCGTTGTAACTTTGTAAAAAAAAAAAAGAAAAATATAGTAATCAGCTTAAATTAATTTTAAATCTCTATTTTCAGAGATTGAGTTCATTTTTCTCAAAGATGTTTATATAATGTAGAAAATAGAAAAGTAAAGATACTTTTTTTTTCACGATAAATTTGAAAAATTCAATCTTTCAGTTGTAAAGATGCTGAATAATTTTAATTTAACTGAATTCATAATATATTTGTAGATTGAAAGTTCCTTCTTCACAATAATTGTTTTTTATATGATTCTTTTTTTCAAGTTATTAAATAACCTTTTTTTTTAAATTTTCATTTGATTCTAAATAGATTCTAAAGGAATTCTATAAAGGATTCTATTAAAAAATTTAATATCTTTTGCAGGTCAAATTATATCAATTTCAATATTGAAAAAATTGGAGAAATTGAAAAAATTCAGAAAAAAAAATACAAAAAATATTAATTCTGATAAAATAAATAAAATTATTCTAAACTTTAAAAAATTAGTAACAAAAAAGTATGTAATCCTTGACATGTTCTCTCACGAATAATATCACGAAATCGTAAAATCATAATTGTTAATGTATTAAAAAAAATTGACAATTAGAAATAAAAAACTTGATAAATAAATTCAGATTACAATTCTAACAATAATATTTATTGATCTAAAAAGATAAAATAATTGATCTATTTGTCACTATATGAAATGGGAAAATTTTTTTCATTTTAATTAGATTCTGAAAAAATAAAGAATTGAAAGAATTGAAAATAGAAAATAACTTTGAATAATTGATAAAAAAATTTCAGGTATGTTAAAACTATATTTTGAATATAGGTTAATTGGTAAAAACGATTTAATTGAAGCAACGAATATTGAATTTTTGGATGAACATCGAAATATTATATTTTATTGTCGAAAAAAAAATGTGACGAATATTAAATAAGATATATAAAGATTTCATTCTCATTTTAAGAATTCATGTATTTACGAATTTTTATTTCAAACTTTTTGCAGAACATTATAACATATAAGCCAATTTTTTAAATAATTTTTATACAAATTTTAGAATTGTTATAATTTTTATCAAGAGATCAAAACATTAATCCAACTTATATTTAATCAACATATTATACGTTCATGCTCTTATGGTAATTTATTGTCAAAAGAAAGTATTATAGAATACGATATATAATTGAAACGAATTTTCACGAATCAATCATTCACCATAACGATGTCAAGCTTTTATTTCATTTTTTTTTTTTCTAGGTTTCCAATGATATCAAAGGGAAACAACAGAACAAAAGAAAGCGAGCAAAAGAAATAAAGAAAAGTAATTAGAGAAAAAAATATGAAATTATATATCTTAATACGATCATCAAATGAATAATATTTCTAGAATGTTTTTTTTTTTATCTAAAGTAAAGTCTCCTGTTATTTATCAAGTATATCTATTTCACATTTTATACATTTCTTATGAATAGTTTATATTTACTATTCTACAATTTCTACAGCAAAATAGAAACTAATTAATCCATAAAATCGAGAACAATCGTAATTTATTATACAGAATTAAATTCAAGAATGAACAATTCTCTTTTCGTTAAATTTTCATTGTTTACAAATTTTAATTCGTTCATTCTACTTTGTTAAAATTAATTTTTAACAGCTCGCCTCATCTCTCGACTGTCTATCTCTCGCAGATAAATTAACAAACATAAGTTTTCTTTTTTAATGGCCGACGTGAAAGATGAAAGGCTTTCTGCGTAACATCGACCTTCCTTCGTCATCTCGAGCACACCCTTCGCTAGTTTCACCCTCTTTTCGTACCGCCCCTTCTATTCCCAGTGTGAGCGTTTCATCAAGGGTTATATCGAATGGCAGAGGGTGTAACCATGGATACGCGAGCAGCCATGTTGGTCCAGAGGCGTGAGAGGCACGCGGATGGAAAATTCGATAATTTCCACCCCGAAATGGCGAAGTTTCTTCGGAGGAAAAATTTTTAAATAATTTCTATTCCAGAATTTTTCTCCATCAAATATTTTTAAGATATTTAATTTAAAAGAAATACGTTTAAAGGAAAAAAGAAAAATTGAAAAACATAAAATATGATGCAAGATTCATATCAAGGAATGGAGAAAGATTATTTATTTAAATTAAACACAGTTTATATTTGTATTATTGGAAAATAATCTTTCACTTATTTCCCTCGATTTATATTTATAACTCGATTTCAACACTTTAATCACGCACGATATCTATTATAAAAATACGACTTTTTAGGAAGATAAGCGTGGATAAATGTTAGCACAACATGCGTCCAACTGAATCACGGAATCGAAGCAAACTGGTAGCGAAGAGAATCGAGAACGAAAACGAAGCCTGGAGAGAGAGAAAAAGGTTAAAAAAGGCAATAAAACGAAGGCGAAACCGTGGCTAAAAGTTTTTAGATATAAGAGAAGTAGGTAGAGGAGGTAGAGTATCAAGACGTGGAATTCCTTCGAGACGAAAGGATTTCAGATGAATGGACCAATGGACCAAGAGTTATGCCTTTATTGCACCCATGTATGTATTATTTTCAAAAAATTGTTGAGAAAAGATGCAGCTGTCGAAAGGAGGAAACCAAGGGGAAAAATATTCGAAATATCGTGATTGCAAACTTGAAAATTTTTACTTCAAAATTTTTCCAAAAACTCGAATATTTGAATATTCCAAATTTATAATTATCCGCAATTTAATCGCAAAAGAGATAAAATAAAATAAAATTACTCGTAGATAGATTAATTATATTCATAAATTAAATTTATGTAAAAACTCCAATTTTCTCCAATTAACTTTCCTAAATTATTTATACAGTTAGATTAAAATATAAAACCATATTATTTTTTCTAAATCATACTTTCTTATGTAATTACCGTTCATTTTCAATTCGATTAACTGGATGAGTTATCGAATTGTTGCTTGCTCACCTTACTCACCAATTCTATTCTCTAAGAAATTAAAATGAAAATGAGGGAAGGAGGGAGGATAAGAGCAAGGTTGGAACGTAGAGTAGTTTATAACGGTCTCTTTTAACACGTTAATATCTTCTGTTCCCTTGGAAACGATCGCAGAAGCTCTCTTCTTCTCGAGCAGTAACGTCCGCCAATATGTCTCCCCTAAAAGCGTCAGGGTGGCGGCGGTTGCACGCTACCGATGAGGTAACAGCTGCTGAATCGTCAGTTGGTTCAACCAATCCGTCCGGATGACCGATAAAATTAACGTTCATTGTTCTTTACGAAACACCAATCGTCCCATACAATCGTAAAATTTCTCCTTTTAGAATCGAAATCCACGGTTCTTCTCAAATAATCTCACGAATTATCTAAAAATAATTATTTATTTATAATTGTGATAAACATTATTAATGATTGGTAAGAAATTTTAATTGCTTTCTCTTGTCTTATTTTTGTGTTTTATTAAGAATATGGATGAAATGGAGATAATAGAATAAGTATATCTTCTCTTATTATCTTCATTACATTGGAATTCTAGATAAAATTGAGGTAAGAAAGATGAAAAATTGTTTTTGATTGTTTTATAAAATAAAATCATTGTGCAATGATACGTAGGTATAATAATTTTTCTATTAAGATAATATTTCTAAAAAAAAAAAAAGAAAAAAAAAAGATATTTTAATAAAGAAAGAAATAAATGAAATCCTAAGTGTCAAAATAATTGTAAATTTTCATCTCCTTTATGAAATTGTAATATGTGTAATAAAAAATAAAATTCTTTTAAAAATTAATTAATGAGAAATGTATTAAACTATAGAGCGATAGAAATTTCTTATCTAATAATAGACAAGAATTATAATTTTGCTTATAGTAATCCTAGTAATTTTATGAAACTAATGTTAATAAACCACATACGGTGAATATTTCACTTGAAATAAATTTTAATTATATTTAACAAAATTATGTTCTATTCTTAGAAAATTTTAACTGTAACAACAAAAAATTCTGTTTCCTCCATCATCATTTTATGCTTCTTTAAAATTTATAATGCATTACAATTTTTTTCACGGATTTTGTGTGATAAAAAATTTGAAAAATAATTTCAAATATAATAAAATATAATAACTTTTACAACTTTGATACAAATTATATTCGTTGTAAATTTAAAGTACGTCTGCCATTGAATTTTTTTCGCGCTTTAATGGCTCGCGACTGCGGTAATCAAGTTTAGAGATGTTGCCAAGGCAATTACTTTCACTCGTCTAAGAACATGGTTGTCCAGCCGGCCATCAATCATCGCTTCATAAATCTAGTGGTATCCCAGTGTATTCGACAAACCCACAAGAAAATCATAAACACAACACTAACGGAGATTAGTTTACATCGTGATCGCGGTTTTCTCCATTTTGTTTGTTAAAAAGCTGTTATTGTTATTTCTGATTTTTTTTTTTTCATATTATTTGTATTATTTTATGAGCCTTGTATGTACAAGAATCTTATACATGTAATGAAATATTATTTCTAATTATTTTATGTTTAAAAAAAATTTAATGTATTTCATATTTATTTATTTTGTATTTATGTTGCAATATGAATTATTGCAATTAACTTATATTCTTTTAATTTCAGGAAATGTCAAGCAATTTTTTTAATGCGTCGAAAAAAAGCCAAAGGGTTTGCGTGAACACATTCGAGTGAGTTTAATATTTTCAGTTCGTAAAATTTTATGGATGGTAATAACTGCCAACCCTAAGAATTTTACAGCTTTTCTTTGGATGAGCTTGAACAATGTGTTCTGAGAGCTTAATACTTAATATAACTTTGTTATAAAAAAATTGTCTAAAGTTGTAGTAATTTCTTATTAAATTGTTAATTTGTTTATTCATCTATTTCATACTTTAAAAATATTTAACATTTCAAGTGTGCAAAAAGTGTCTGTTGTTCATTTTTGTTATTGTCAGATTAATAATAGAAATTAAATTAATTATTTATTAAGAAAAGGTAACTATATATATATATGCAAATATTCTATTTGAAATTTAAGATATAAATTTAAAAATAAATTATTTTAAAAATATTATTAAATGCATATATGATGCATTATTTAACTTATTTCTAAAATACTGTACTTTAATTTATATATAGAAATATATCTCTATATCATTATAGATTTATTATTATTATTATTATACTTGATGATATGAAATGTAAAATAATTAGAAATCTGTATTATCAACTGTCTATATCATATCACAGAGAAAAAGGTTCAAAAAATTGCTGTAAGAGGGCAGACATATAAGTCTGACAAGTCTGTTACCTACGTTATCCACTATAGAATTCTTCAGAATCTTTCGAAGATATTTGAAAGTTGTCAGTTATAATAGTTTCAAATAATTAATTACGATTCAATAGACGTAATATTTATTGCATTTTATTTTCGAATTTTATTATCTATCAAGTAAAATCTTACACATCTATTATATATTTGTGAACTCTTCTGAAGAATTTTAAATTTAACGATTATCAATACGTATTATTACTCTGTTCTATTCTAACCTTATATCGATACAAATGAAAGTATTTAATATAACTAATCAATTTACATTAATTGATACAAATAAAACATAAATATAACCAATTAATTTTCACTAAATGAAAAATAAAAAGAATTATTTTTCAAGATATAAATGACTAAATGTCTCATAGTGTATACAAGATATTTACCAATGTTCCGTGTAACGAAACGTCACATTCCAAGTCACAGAATGGTCAGAATGTTTGCTTTTCCTCGTTCGACGAATTTCACGAGCGTTGTTTTCACTCCGGGAAGTCGTGTATGGAAAAAAAGGCAGCAAGGCAAGCAGCTAAGGCTTGACCGAAAGGTACTGGCGACGGTGCTTTTAAAGCTGTACCGCGTGTTTGTTTGCGGCCCGTGTTAATTCGTCGTACAAATAACCGGCGACGGCCCTCGGACCACGAACGATTCGTAGCCGTTGCAAATGATCAGTTCCTCGCGGGCAATACGTGTAACTGCATTGCGTTTCACCGTTCCATCGCGTGATCTTTGAAAAAAGGCAAATGAATGCCTCTCGGTGTGCTGGGTGAAGTGATGTCTTAAGCAGTGGATGCTTCGTATCGAATACGCTAGTTGTTTGCGATGGATTATCGAGGTATTTTTTTCCTAACCTTTTTTTTTTTCTTTACCCATTATACCTTTGTCCATAGATTTTATTCAATTTCTATGAATTGAACACTCATGTTGAGATTTTTGTAAGTTTCGAAATATTCTAAATCTATGTACAGAGTAGGATATTGTTAGATATACTTAGTTATGTGTGAAATGTGACTAATCGCGACACCTGTTGTTATTGTCAGTGTATTATTGTGACCATATAAATGTCATAACGTATCCTTCCTTCTTCTTGCATGGATTATCGAATAGACTTTGTTCATTAATAATAAATGCAATAGTTAGAAACATTGTGTTCTGATAGTTAAATAATTGGAAATTTATTATCAATTTATTTTTTAAATATCTTAATCTATAATGATGAGACATGAGACTCTCGCTAATAATTGGATTGGAATCATTTGAAATTATTCCTAACCTCTTTTTTATATTAATATAAACTAAGTAGATATACATATATGTATATGTATATGTATATGTAATATGTATATGCTTGTTACGTCACGAGATTCGTTTTAATTTGGTCCAATCATTAGCCGCGAGATATATTTTCGAGACAAGTTTTATTATATAGAGGACGCTTGTAATATGAATATATTCGAGAATAATATTTTCGAGAGTTATTTTTCATTATTGAGCGATACGTTTGCTGTGTTGTTAAAATTATTCTTGATTCAAAAGTTTCAAAAGTCATTCATGCAGTGTTCATTAATAAACAATAATTATTTTCTCTCTGTTAATATCACAACGGCTTCCAAAAACGAAGTTCGTTCCGCAACGAAAATACATCGGATTATACGCAGCCATTATCCATCGAAACACACTTGAAATCGTGGAGAAGAACGAAACAAGTCAATACGTGTGGAGGTTTACGACGTCGGGGTTGGAAATCAACGAAGAGAACGGCCGCGTCGCAATAGGGAGACCACGTGAGCACGCTTGTTTTTATAATACACGTTAAATAACTTTACGAGGCCTCAAGTATCGTGGCAAATTGATTTCGTAACGACAATCACGGAATTAACGTACAATAAAAGTATCATGGTGGCAATTAAGCGGAGCACTTGCTTAACTGTGAACCATCACGCTTGGCTGTGGTTTCAGTCGTGCTCGGGAGTGTCGAATGAATGATACGCAAACAGTATTGGATCATTTTGAATCTGCGGGGACGATCCACTCGCTATGGCGTCAATTTTCTTCCCGACGTTTGGAGAAATCTTCTTTGAGAGTTGGCATCTTGCGTCTTTTTTGTGAGTTTAATATTATTTTATTATAGAATTAGAATTGAAAGTGATATTTTGTAATCTAATAATCTAAAAATCTATGTTAAATCTATTTAGACAAACCAAAGATTTTTATGTAAAAATCTTACATGGATTGATATTTGTCTAAAATTACATAACCTAAAAATTTTTACATTTAGATAAACTAAAAATTTTTACGTAAGAATCTTATACAATTATTTATGTGATATTATCGAATAGTAATTGTGAATTGTGATATTATCGAATTGTTTTGTTCTATGACAAATAACGATAAATTAAATTATAATAGTAAACAAAAATTAAGAATATTATTTTTTATATTACACTAGGTACTATCTTCTTGAATTTTTGTTGAATATCAAGAAATGTAATTTAATGGCAGGAAATTATGTAACTACTTTTACATGGAAATAACGAAGTACCGTGACGGAAGTAGATCAAAACGATGCTCCTCTTGTTCAAAAGCGGAATTTTGCACGCGCGTGCGATTGTGTATACAACTATTAAGTGCTTACATTTATGTCTCTCATAATTGGCTTCGTTAAATGAAGAGAGTGACTGAGGAATTAGCTTGCCGGTAATAACCCGGCTATTTATTAACACGTGAAACGAGACGCTATGGGTCGCGCGAACTAACATATCCGACACATGAGGTGAATGTCTTCTTTGTTTCCTTCAGATTTTTCTTGTTCTTGTTTTCTTATCGCTATACGTGAATAGTATTCTCCATTCTTGTTGTCTGTTTCTTCAGGTTAAAATTTCACTTTCTTCATTATAATATCTTATTTAATTTTTTTGATAATAATAAATATTTTTAATACTTTGCTTATCGTTATGAATATATGGATAATCTCCATTTTCTTTTATTTATTTCTTTGGATTAAAATTTCATTTTCTTCATCGTGTCTTTCTTATTCTCAGTTAAATTTTTATTTTTTAAAACGGGTATAAATATCTTTGTTATTTATAAAATTCCACATTTTTTTGTTATTTTCCAACAAGAAAGTAGATATTAGATATTTAAGTAATCATAATATAATGGGAATCATAAATATAATATAGCGCATTTCATTTAAAAAGAAATTTGTCAGATTTATAACAGATTATTATATACATATTTAGGTGTATATCAGTTTTCTTAGGAAGGGTTTCAAAAAAACGAAAATGTTTTCTTTCACAGCATATTGCGTCAGTTTCGTTTCGAATTTTCCCTAATTTTTTTTTCTTTTTCAAAGGGTCGATCCTCGAGAAACATCTTGCTTGGTATCGTTTGTTATTTCGTTAAGGAAAAAACTGACCTGCTGGCCTACATTCCATCCTGTTTTCACTTCCTGTCGGTATAGAAGGATTTCACGAGTTAGGAAAAAAAGGATCCTGAAAGAACTCGAAGATTTCACTTTTCTCTTTGTCTTCAAATCGAAGATAATTTTGTTTTGAAAATTTAATGAATAATTAATGATAACAATAATAATGAAAAACATAACGAAACGAATAAAATTTAAAAGGGAAAAATAGGAAGAGATTCTCGTATGGTTTTCTTATATAGATAATTTTTGTATTTGACTTTAATAATTCTTCTTTATATTCTTTATATTTATATTCTTCTTTTGAACTTTTATATTCATATATAAAAAAGCATAAAGAAAATATAGAGATAGATATTCAATTACCATTCACAGTAAGTAATCAATTATCAAGACATATCTAGATCTGTTTGGATCCAAATCATATTTTGTAGATTTTCATCTCTTCTTCTCTTTCCCAACTATATATATATAAAATTAATTACTACAACAACGATACTATACTTACTATAACAAACAATTCCATGATGCTTTAATAAGTGAAGTTCAGTTCACTGTAAAAAAATTAAACGTCGACTTTAGGCATTCAAAAAATGTCTTTCAATCTCGAATGGAGTTAGAGGGGCGCGACTTTGTCCAGCATCGACATTCCAGAACCGAGGAATGCGCGTTGAATCCGTAAGAGGTTTAAAAAGAAAAAGTATGAAGGTGGGTTGGGGAAGAGGTTAGATTTACTATCAGATGGATTTCATTCCTCTGGAGGGGTTTCAGGCTTTCCAAGCAATCCTATTACCACAGTCAAATGTGATTTAGGATCTTGGCCGCTCACCATGAAACACCATGGGCGTTTCATATCTCCTCGGGACCAGATACCAACCGCGGTGCACCGGGTATTCTCTCTCTCCAACCAGCGGCCGCTATGGGCGTTTTCAGGACCGTAGAAGGGATTAAATTTTCAAAGCGAGCGCCGATTCCTCCCGGTTTCTGTACCGAGAGGAACCGGATAGGTTTTCGAGAAAATGGCGACCAGGCTACTGCCCATTGAACCAAAAATGATTGATTTTCGATTAAGAGAGAAATTATTATTTATGATCATCATCCCTATGGTAAAGTGGGTAGTAAAAAAATGATCTATCCTGGGTTCGATAAAAAGCAACGAAGTTTTAATTTTTGATCTGATAATTTTCCTGGTAATAAAATCGTGAGATATATATTTGGAATACGATGAGTGTAAATTATTCGTGATTTTAGGTTACGACAATAAAAATTTCTTCTTTTTTTTTTTTTGAAATTAAATAAGGGAACAAAATTGACTCGAGAAAAATTTGAAAACTTTTGACTCGTTTTAATTTTCTTTTTTTAATTTATTCTCAAACGATATTCTCCGTATAAGAAATATAAATTTGTATAATGCAAATTTTTCTTTTTCTTTTTTTACTTTTCACGCTTGATTTCATCCACTTTATGTTTATATCAATCAATTGACAAAAGAATTTTCTCCTGTTTTCTCCGCTGCTGTACAATCAAGGTGAATACAGAAAAAAAGCATACGTTCAAGTTACGGCCCTGCACCCTTTATCTCGTTCCACGAGCGAAGCCAGGCCACGAAGAATCGGCGTGCACGAGGACCAAGCCTCGCTTATCCATATTCGCCATACCCGCTATTATGTAGACGATAATGGCCCCCGCATAAATATTCACGCTGGCGATGCCCATAAATGCTACCGCTGCATCCTACATATTGCCTCCGCTATACTCCGCTCACGAATACTATGCCTGCCTGCCTGCCTGCCTGCCTGCCTGCACGTGCATTGACGTTTCAAGCTCGCCGCTAATACGAGACGAGGATCAAGCGTTTGCTGATCAGGATCATCAATCAAACCATCATTGATTAGGTATATTCTCGTTTCTCGTTCACTTGTATATTTACGATGTTGACAATTTCTAACCTCTCTTTTCTTATGTTCGAAAATAATATATATATATATTTTTTTTTAATCTAGGTCTAGAAGCGAGAAGAAACGTGATTCATCGCGATTATAGATTCATTGTGTGGACGTTTATTATCGTACGAGTTTTGGACCAACTCGTTAATGGATAGAAACGTGAATTTTATTTATTCGATGGTATTTTATCTCTCTCTCTCTCTCTCTTCGATCTTGTAAAAGATTCTCCTCTCGATTTGTCCAACAAAATCTTGCGAATATTTTTTTATGGAGCATTATTTTGCACGAATGGAAATCGTGTTATCTTCGACGAACGATCGATCCCTCGCCGGTTTTCGAATTTTATCCGATCTTCTTTCACGAATAATTGGCGGTTCAATGGTCGGAGTAGGACCCTCGAGGTCCACCACACAGGATCCACTTACACAATTATCTGCTCGCGGGATCTCCTTGGCGGACAGTCGCTCATCGTTTTACTGCTCTCTCACCTTCTCCTCCTCCTCCTCCTTCTTTGGATTCGTTTTTGAGCTGGCTTTTTAACGTTCTCGCCCATCTTGCCTCTTCTTCTCTGGTGCATGTAAGAATTCTTCATTTTGTTTTCCATTTTGTTTAATTGTTGTAACAGATTCTTGTGAATTTTGTGCAAAAAATTGAAGAAACTTTTAGTTATTTGTCATTCTATTTATACAGATACTGAATAATTAGATCCAAATTTTACATCATCTAGCATTTTTTACAATTATTCTTACGGTGATTTTTTTATATTTTATATTATTATTTTGGACTACAAGATAATTAAGGATGAAGACAAAGTATCATGGAAAGTTCAAGAATTATGCTACGAAACGTTATTTGATCATTCCTGGTATTTACCACCGCTGAACCAAGTAGTAAGTAAGAAAATATTTTTCAAATGCATCCCCATATCTTATACCCATCGTGATATATCTCATCATAAAAAGGTATAAATATTTCAAAGTAAGAATCGTCCGTGAGAAAGGAGGCCATGTGTGCGTCTTCCTGCCTGCCGCCACTTTTGAAGTCCTTCTCCTCCTTTGGAAAAAAGAAAAAAGAAAAAAGAAGAAGAAGAATGAAAAAAAGGAAACGAAACAGATCTTGGTCGCCACACACACACAAATTCTACTGGATAAAGTAGAACTCGCCACTCCTAGAGGGAATAAGAGGCGAAAGAAAGAAATCCCACCCACTTCTGGTCGGTCCTTTCCAGTCGCCATCACGAATAAATTCGAAACCAGTTCCCACAAGAGGACCCACGAGTCGCTCTTGTCGGGTGTGTCACGTCGTTTTAATGCTCGTTTCACTGGAACCGTGTCCCCCGGAAAGAACACAGAAATAAGACCGTTAAAAAGGCCCCTTATCTGTTGCTAGAAAAAGAAAAAAATTCCACTCGAACAAGGATCCACTTTGACGAGGATTGCGTGATTGAATTTTTATTTATTTTTTTTTTTTCCCTCGCCTCGAAATTATGGAAACTGGTTAATGGCCACAAGCTTGATAGAGAGGGAAGTTATTTTATAATTGAACGGGGAAATATTTATATATTGCCTGTTAATTTTCATAATTCCATTACTTATTTCAATTTCAAATTTTGATTTGTTAAAAATTGTTAATCTTTTGTAAATATTTGCCCGTTTACGTAATATTTGTTCAGCGATATATTTGCTTAGTGGTCGTAAAGAGGAAAATTTTTTTTAGGCAAATACGTTTTACGTAGTCCTGCCATATATACCTCGTAGACTTTTGAAAGAAGTTTATTCGTCGTTTGGAGAGGAATTAAAATTTTAGAAATTTTTGGTTCGTTTTTCTCTTTCTATTAATTACTTAAAATTTTCAAATCTCTTTGTTAATTTTTGTCAATTTATTTTAAACACTAGCACACGAAAAAGTAATTTGATTAATCTGATTGTTTGATCTCTATTGAATTCTCGTATTGAAAAATTTTTCATTATTTTTCTTATTATCGTAAAACAAGGAATTTGTTTAGAGTGAAAATAAACTTTTTTTTCTTTCTCTCTCTCTCTCTCTCTCTCTCTCTCTCTCTCTCTCTTATTTAGTACCATTGATTGGAAAATAATAAATAAATATGGCAAAATAATTACCATACCGATATTTAATAATGCAGATATTCATAAATATGAATGTTCACATTTAAAAGGACTTTAATAGCCAAAAGATGAAAATAACTGTAAGAGAATGTTAATAACCTTAACGCGGATGTTATTCGTTGTTATTCTTCGCTCGAACGTTTCCATTTTTATTTGTTGCACGTATGATACATGTTGGCCAGTTTGAGATTCCGTAGAGGGATTCGATTCTCGCACGATCCCTCCATGAAATGGAGTTCACAGTCGTAAATACGTATGCAAATATACCGAGGCTGTTACAGTGGCCGTTGTAAACCGGTATAGTCATCGATAAACGTTTCGAGCCGTTGTCACGTGGCGTAGAGATTCAGATTCTTCTTACTTTTTTTTTTCTTCTTCTTCTTCTTTTTCATAAAACAACGCTGTTCAACGAAGGTACGATTTCAAAATAATTTTCAACTTTATTCAACTTGCAAAAATTTATATTAATCATTTTCCAAGGGAACTTGAAAAGAATACGATTTTTGAGGTTAACCCGGAAGCAAGACCGTTCGACGGTAAAGTAGGTAGCCGAAAATTTATACAATCATCATTTATATCTAGATCGATATAATTATTTAATGATATGATTTAAAATCACGTGAAAATAATGTGCATAATAAAATAGATAATCGAAAATTTTTTATCTATTTTATATCTAAATCGATATATACGATGATTAATGATATGATTTAAAATCACGTGAAAATAACGTGCATAGAAAATTTATATTTTATTATATTTTATATATATATATATAAAAGACACGAAATATCCAAAAACAGAGGAAGGATTGCAGAGGGATTTGATTTTCTCGGAAGAGGAAAACGGTTGCGGCGAAAATGATTCATGAAGAAGCTATTCATACCGAACCCTTTATTTACCGCCATATTTGAAAGAGCGGGTGAAACTATCTCGACCACCGGGAAAAATGGGCGAAACGACCGACAAAAAGGGAACGAGGAAACGAGTTCCTTTGAAAAGAAGAAAAAAAAGAAAAAAGAAAAAGGAAAAAAAAAAGCTTTTCACTGACCAGACCAGAACGTAATCCCTACCAATAAACTAATTAAGGCCATCGGCTTTCGACTACCTACTTTACTCTCGAACGGTCTTGCTTCCGGGTTAACCTCAAAAATCCTACCCTTT